GCTTGCAGTGGTCATAGAGGTCTTTAGGGGTTTAAGATCTCGGGATCAGGTTTCAGGCGCTTAGGGTCTGAGGCACGCTGGATACTCTAAGATCTCAGGGTCTGTGCAGCAGGTTCCAGGGAGCCCAAAACCCCTTGTTTAGGGTTTAGGGTTTAGGGTTTGGGGTTTAGAGTGATTCCAAGGGCTCCACAGTGGAACCCTGAGTCAGGCCTCCAGTTGACCCTGGAAGTCCAACAGGGACACCACGTCACGCGTCATGCGCTGTAAACGTCAACACCATGAACCCTCAACCCTGCATCCAATCCTAACACTCAACCCATCCTAAACCTCAAGCCTCAAACCCTCCACCCTGAACCCTAAACCCGAAACCCTAAGCCCTTTACCCTTTACCCTTCAAACCCCAAACCCTAAACCCTAAACCCTAACCCCTAGACCCCTAGACCCTAATGCCTAAACCTAAACCCTACACCCTAAACCCCACACCCTTTCAACCCCAGCCTGTGCGGGCAGCTCGCCCTGGGAGCCTCAAGGACGATTTTCGGGTTCTGACTCACTAAAGGGGTTTTGGGTTTAGGGTTTGGGGGTTTGGGTTTAGGGTTTGAGGTTTAGGGTTTAGGGTTACAGGAAGGTCACAGGGGCTACACAGTGGCTATAGCTGAGATTGTAATCATGATACGAGCGAAAACACGAAAGTAGAATGCCTTAGAGCCTCCAAGCGAAGAGGCCGGGGGCTTTTCAAGGTTTAGGGGTTTACCGGGGTTTATGGCGCCCTAAAATCTAAACCCTAAACCCTAACCCCTAAACCCTAAACCCTGCGTACCAAGGGTTTACAGAAGGCTTGCGTCCGCGTTCGGGTGCAGTGCCGACGGATCCTGGGTTAAAGCCGGGTTTCAGGGCGCACACACCGTAAACCCCCCAAATTACTCACATGGCCTGTCAAACCTACACCCAAATAAACCCCAAATTCCTGAGAAGCCCTATAAGTCCTAAGCCCTAAGCCCTAAGCCCTAAGCCCTAAACCCTACTACACCTAGAGCAAAGGAGAGTTTTAGTGCTGACAGTCGAAGAACAAAAGCAGGCCAAACTCGGAGGTCTAGAAACCCGAACCCTAAACCCTAAACCCTAAACTCTAAACCCTAAACTCTAAACCCTAAACCCTAAACCCTAGTAGGGCATGTGGACCCTGACAAGGTTCAGAGGGTCTGCGAACCCTGCTCACAAGGTCTCCCCAGCCTCGCATGGTAAAGCCCTCAACCCTGAACCGAAGCCCTGGAACCCACTTAGGCCCTGTTGAGTTTCAGGTGGTCCATCCCTGAATAATGTAAAACGCATCCCTGGGGCCCGCCCAGTAGCTTGAGTCTACAATACTTCGAGCTCTGGTTGGGCCGATTAGGTTTTAGGATTTATTTCGGGTCCAGGGGGTTTTATGGGGAAGGGCCCACACCAGCTTGGACTGCGGCTCGCAGTGGAAGATTGCCATCTTGGTCGCAGTGTATGCCGGAAAAAGCTCACGGGACTCAAACCTTTAAAAGCCCCCCTCACTCCGAACAACAAAAGATTCAGGCAGCACAGCAACTTAGTACAAGGAGGGTGCCCGTGATTGTCTGCTGGCTCGATTCACGCACGCAGGAAGCCACAACCGAAGACAGCACATGCTTCCAAATGCCCAGTGACCAACCAAACAGCCGAATACGGAATGTGCTTCCACATGCCTAGTGACTGCACCAAACTAAACGAGAGGGAACTACTGCAGGTACTGCTATACCCCTAAACCCGAAATCCTAAACCCTAAACCCTAAACCCCAAACCCGAAAACATTTCCCAAGATGGACGGAGAACTGGTGGAGGCCAGCAAGCGCATCTTGCAACATAAAAAAAAACCTTCAAAACCGACCCCTCTATACAACATTCCCGACATGCATCAAACTCTCCTTCTGAAAGCCCGCAGGCTTCAGGGTTTGCAGGGTGTGGGCTTGTTTGTGGCAAGTAAGGCCCAGGGAAATTGCTGGAACCCCACCCTTAACCATCCTCCAAACCATGCCCTTGTCACTCAGGGCAGAGAGAGGGCTTTGGGGTTTACAGGGATTAGAGAGCTTTTTTATAGGGCGTTGGGGCTTTTAGGGATTATAGGCTTCTTATAGGGCTTTAAGGCTTGTCGGGTTATTATTGGGGTTTTTAGGGCAGGGCTCTACCTTCAACCTCGATACCTCCTTCCAGCAACTGCTCCGGCCTGGCGTGCGCAGGAGCTCGCGCCAAGCCGGGCAGGCGGGGAAGAGCTCGCGGAGCTCGCGCGCGCAAGATGGAGGCCATGGTGCCTTGCACTTGGAAGCTTCGCAGGTGATGCCTAGTATAGGGCCGGGTATCATTATATAAGGGACCAAGGTGGGTGGAAGGGAGGTGGGGTGCAAGGGCCGAATGTTCAATACTTCGGTATACCTTGCCATTTAGCCAACAGACTCGTAAGTGGAGTCGCGCGGGAACGGCAGTAGATGGCCGCACCCCAGACCCTAAACACCAAGCCCTAAACCACAAACCCTAAACCCTTAACCCCAAACCCTGAACCCCAAACACCAAAGCTCAAACCCCAAACTCTACACCTTCATGCGGCTACTTCAGAACTCCTTGGTTCTGCCCCCCGCGGTGTTCTACAAAAGAGCCAGCCATCTCTTTTGTGCTTTCTTGGTTTTTGCTGTTTAGAAGGGGCCCCCTTACCTTAAACTCTAAACCCTGAACACTATGTCATGTGGGCCCTCAGGCTTTCGGGTTGTAGCTACCTTATCTGAAGTTCGTCTACTTGTCGGAACTAACCCTAAACAGAGGTTCGCACTTGGGGGAGCTGGCCCCACACAGGCTACCAGTTCACCCAACTCTAACCCTCTGCTGGCGAGCCAGTTGTAAAATTGGCCCTAAATACAATAAATACATATAAACACCCTAAACCCTGAACCCTGGGTGCACAAAAGGAGCCGAATTTAGGGAAGCTACGCACCAAACCGCAAAAGCTCTAGACCCGACTAAGAGGCCTACCGCCCTAAGCCCTGAACCCAAACTCTCGAAGAAAGAAAGTCTACCACCCAAACCCCACACCTATGATAGTAAATTCCTAAACTTTAAACGCCCAACCCCCAAACCCTAAACCTATAATTGTTAAACACTCAACAACTAAACACTGAACCCTAAGCCTGTAACAGTTGCACCCCAAACCCCGAACCCCAAACCCCAAACCCCGAACCCCAAACCCCAAACCCTAAACTCTAAACCCTAACCCTAGACCCTAAACCCCCCTAAACCCTAAACCCCCTAAACCCTAACCCTAAAACCCTAAACCCTAACCCTAAAACCCTAAACCTAGACCCCGTAAACCCTAAACCCTACATCCAAAAACCCTAAACCTCCATCGTTTAAGCAACCTGCGGCTTGCCAATGCTTTGTGTCGTGCAATGCCGTAGTCACTAGCCTCGAGAACCTCAAGCTAGGGCTTAGGGCTTAGGGCTTAGGGTTTAGGGTTTAGGGGCTAGGGTTTAAGGTTTAGGGTTTAGGGTTTAGGGTTTAGGGTTTAGGGTTTCGGGTTTAGGGTGTAGGGTGTAGGGTTTAGGGTTTAGGGTTTAGGGTTTGGGGTTTAGTGTTTAGGGTTCAGGGTTTAGGGGTGCTCGTGTGCCTCGTCAAAAGGGAGCACGGCGTGGTCCACCCTAATTATACTTGCTACTATTTCCTTGGGCCAAAAGTGGCGATGCAGTTAAAAACCACGAAGCACGGCAAGAGTGCCAGGGAAGCGATGAAAGGATACTCCAGACATCAAAAGCCCTAAGCCCTGCACCCGAAACCCTAAACCCTGCAGAACCCCCCCCCCCCCATCTGCACCCAATAAACAATTCTGCAATCAGGCGCCTGAAGCTTTGGGTTTAAGGCTAAATATTTGGTATGTTCAGGACTGAGGGTTTAGGGTCTTCAAGGTTTAGTGCTTAGGACTTCGGGTTCAGCATTTAGGGTTTTTGCTTCGCCCTCGTGTTTAGCATTCTTGTGGGTTTAGGGTATGCAGGGTTTGGGGCTTACCCCCCGAAGTCGCTTGTTTCTCCAGCAATGGCAGGAGGTACTCGGCGCGCTCTGGGGATCCGGATGCAGCGAGGTCGATGGGGCGTTGGCCAAGGCGGTCCCCTGATTCTGCCTCCGCCGCAGATGCCAACAGCACCTGAGGTCAGCCAGCTCAAGATTCGGGGTTCGGGGTTTGGGGTTTAGGGGTTAAGGTTTAGGGTTTGGGGTTTAGGGTTTAGGGATCTAGGTACGAGTACAGCACTTGCAGGACCGATTAGGCCTAAGCCTACCTATGACTACAAACGAACCCCTGCTTGGCCAAAGTCAAGAGGTATGAAGTGCTTTAAGGTGGCGAGTGGAGACATTTTGCAACGTGGCTTTAAGCCTGTCTGCCAAAGCCTTAAACCCTAAACCCTAAACCCTAAACCCTAAACCCTAAACCCTAAACCCTAAACCCTAAACCCTAAACTCTACCCAACCTCCATCATCAGAGCCAGACCCTTTTGCCCCTCATGCCTTGGAGTGAGACCATTGGCGGGAGAATCTGAAGAAGTTTGGCAGCTGTGCGCTTCGGCATGGCTTGCTGCGTTTGGAGGTTTCCGAAAATAGGGGTACCTTATTGGGGTCCTTATCATAAGGGAATCCTACAGTACTATTTGGGGACTGTATTTGGGGGTCTCTTATCTTCGCAAACCCCCCCATTTTTGGGGTGCTTCAGGAATTGTTGAATAGATAAGGGATTGCTCGAGACATTGCCTATTGGGCATAATCTTGCAATGCCTGTTTGCTCATATCTCCCTACAACATCTCTATATCCATATCTATATCTATATCTATATACATAAAATAAAAAATAAATAAATAAATAAATAAACATATATATATATATGTATACATATGTGTATATATATATATATTGCTCATACCACAAAATATAACATCAGATATGTGTGTCAGCTTTTTGCGCTTCAGGCGTTTTGCTCAAGAAAGTTCTGCCACCAGCGGTAGGAGCTCTTGACGGTGCGCGCCAGCGCCTCGTCCTCGAAGTTGACATGCACCATGCCGAATCGTTCCTTGTAGCCTCCGGCCCACTCCTTGGTGGCCCAATAATCATATCATAATAAGGGTGCACACTTCTTGGTCTTAAGTACTGTTCTAATAAGGGGAACCCATAATTCAAAAAAGGGCAAAAGGGTACCACTCAGCTACCAAGACTCAAAGTTGTCCAGCAAAGTCCATGCAAAGTAGCCGCGGAGCGGCAGCCCCTCGGCAACTGCCTCCTTCACGACGCGCGTGTGGTCCTGGTAGTACCTCACGCGCACGTCATCCTTGATCGGCTCTGGGTCGTTTGCTGGGGTGCAGAAGCCATTCTCAGTGATCACGATATCTAAGCCAGGATAGCGGCCAGAGAGCCATCTCAGCAGCAAAAGCAGGCCGGAGGGGTAGGAGCCTGGGTTGGCCCTTAAACCCTCAAAAATATCTTTACTAATAGGGCCCCGTATATAAACCCAAATAAGGAAGATATGCAAAATATGTAAAATATTTATACATAGGGCCCCTTAAACCCCAAATAAGGAAAATATGTATAATATCCCGAAAGCAACCTAGGAGCGTAGCCAGGAGGCGCCGGACGCCTCGCCCAAGTCCACGATCTTCCAAGAGGAGCCACCGGCCTCCTCGACGCCGGAAGTCCTACTCTGAACTTGGAACCCAAGCAAAAATTCTAATTGTTGCTGTTTCTGAGGAATTAGTATATATATATATATCGTTTACATTTATATATAGTGCCCAAAATTAAAGTGGTATTTCCAAGTACCCCTAGGAGTCGTGTAGTAGTTGATCCCGAGGAAGTCAATGGATCCTCTGAGGGTCTCTTGCTCACTTTGGCCTTAGCAGCCCAGTAACCAACTTATATTGAGGGTACCCTCTTCTTTAGGGTTTAGGGTTTAGGGTTTATAACCAACTTATATTGAGGGTACCCTCTTCTTTAGGGTTTAGGGTTTAGGGTTTAGGGTTTAATTAGGGTTTAGGGCTGGTTGGTTACTGTTTTAGGGTACCCAGAAACCAAAGAAAGGGTAAAGGGTACCACTAGGCTACCAAGTGTCTCAGCCGCAAGGCCAGGTTGCCCGCATGCGTTGCCTTGAAGCTGGATGGGAAGTCACCGAAAAGGACGGGGTCAGACCAAGAAGCGATACGGTCCTCCAACATCTGCTGAGCCCCTTTTGCAGCAACATCACTGGCGTCCACCGGGGTGTAGTGTCGTGTGTTTAACGTGATCCCAATCTTCCCAGTCTTCTCACCGAGCTGGAAGCGCGCGCGGTAGAGAGCCACGACCTTGGCATGTGCAAGCAGCACGTGCCGCATGGCTACAAGAGCCTCGGCAACCGACTGCTTAATGCCAGGGGCATTCCAGCCTCCCTGATAGCCGCCAAAAACAAAGACAGCAGGCTCGTTGAAGGTGATCCACATTGGGACCCTACTTGCAAAGCGTGTGAAGCACAGAGTGGCGTACTCCACAAAGATGTCCACAATCTTCGGGCTCATCCACCCGGGCATGTCCGCAGTTTGCAGTGATGAGGGCAGGTCCCAGTGGTACAGCGTGACGCAAGGGGTCATGTTTGCCTTCCTTTTGTGGTAGCCCAGTAGCCATATTACAACAAGGGGCACCCCTTTTTTGGGGTTGGTTAAGTTTATAAGGGAGCCCCTTGAACCCCCAAAAAAGGAAAAGGGGTATACCACCCTTTATGGGGGTTGGTTAAGTTTATAAGGGAGCCTTGAATCCCCAAAAAAGAGAAAAAGGGCACCAACTGGACTACCAGGCTTCTCAAGAGCATCAAGGACGCTTGAGTAGAAGGCGATGCCCGGCTCGTTGGGTAAGCCATCCTCTCGCATGACGCGCGGCCAAGAGATGGACATCCGGAAGTGCTTGAAGCCGGCGGCTCGCGCCAGCTCGATGTCTTCCTCATATCGGTGGTAGAAGTCGCAGGCGATGTCTGCAGACGTTCCGTCCTCGATGTTGCCAGGCTTTCTGCAGAAGTCGTCCCAAATAGACGGTGCCTTGCCATCAGCATCATGAGCGCCTTCGATCTGATAGGCAGCTCCGGCCACACCCCACTGAAACGACTCCATCGGATTTAGGGTTTATTTAGGGTGTAGGGTTTAGGGTTTAGGGTTTAGGGTTCAGGGTTAAGGTTTTAGGGTTTAGGGTTTAGGGTGCACGCAGACGACTTCGAGCCGGAAAGGCTCTGTCATGGTTTACGATGCTACTGTTTGCCTATAAGAGCCCGCCCCCAAAAAAATGGAAACATTCTTCCTTGTACGAGCATGTAGGGATTCTTATCTTTTGTTTCTTGGGGGGTGTTCAGCAAACATGTGGGGATTCATATCCTTTGTTTCTTGGGGGTTGTTAAGCAGATGGTAGACTGTTTGCTGCACATCCCGGAGGTCGTAGCGACTGCGCCGTTGACGGCCGGTATAACATGGGACACTTCTGAAGACGAAAAAGACATGGGGGTTTCCTTTTTGGGGTCCTTACAAAAGCGAATCCTTCTATTGGGGGTCTATATTAGGGTCCCCTACTTTCGTAAACCCCACATGCCTCCAGTTCGGAGCTTTAAAATTAGCACTTTATGGCAATAAGGGGCTAAAATACAAGTAGAGAATGTTGAGACCTACACACACACACACCTCAAAGTATAGACCCTTTATCCTCAAATGAATACCCCCAAAAGTTAAAATGTCAAATCCTAAACCCTAAACCCTAAACCCTGAACCACCACAAACCCTAAACCCTGAACCCTAAACCCTGAACCCTAAACTCTAAACTCTAAACCCCAAACCCTAAATCCTAAAATGCCCAGGCCTCCACGACTGGGAGGTGGGCATCGGGCAGCAGGCGCAGTCTCTCAAATGTGGCATCTCGCTCCTGGCGTTCGGATGTCTTTTTCCTCTTGGGGTTTGGGGTGTCCATAAAACCCTAAACCCTAAACCCTAAACCCTAAACCCTGGGGTTTAAGGTTTAGGACTTGGCCTCTAGAGTCCCGGGAAGAGGGCTCCGAACCCCATGAGGATGGAGATCTTACAGCAATCGGCTTAGGGTTTAGGGTTTAGGGTTTAGGGTTTAGGGATAGACATCATAGTTGAGGATGAAACCCGGGCCCAAGAAACCCGAAAGGCCGGTGTACCTATCTACGGACAAGCTCATCTCTCCTTTGGGCCCAAGCATATGCTATTGAGCATTTTTGATGTAAACAAAAGAGTCTTAGGGAATGCCTCCTTAAGGGCCGCCCAAGACCTCTCCGTTGTAAAAGGCTAGGCTGGCCACATAATAAGAAACCTAGAAACCCAAGAACCCTTGAGCTGGCTCTACAATCATCCCCTCCAAAACAGGCCTCGAGCTTGTCAGGGTTTCGGGCGTAGGGTTGTTCAGGGTTGCTTAGGGCTTTCTAAACCTAGACTAGGGGTCGAAACGCAGATGCAGATGACCTTGGTGGGTACTTGCAGCGCGGGTGTGGGTGGCAAAACCCCAAACCCTTAAACCTCGAAATTTGGTAGGGTCTGTCGTGCGGGCCATGAATTGGGGAGCCCTTATATGCCCTTATTATAACCCCAAAACATAAACCCTATCATCCATAATCTGTAACCCTATGACCCATCATCTACAACCCTAAGCAAATATATCACCCTAAACCCTAAACCCTAAACCCTAAACCTTAAACCCTAATATAAAACCCTAAACCCTAAACCCTAAACCCTAAACCCTAAACATTAGTACGGGGTAGACTGCATGACCCCGTCAGCTCCTCCAGCCCGAGGGCAGCCAAGTGAAGCGGCGTCCGCCCCAGGCCGTCCTAGCTGCAGATTAGGGGCTTAGGGTTTAGGGTTTAGGGTTTAGATTTTAGGGTTTAGGATTTAGGGTTTCGGGTTTAGGGACAAGGGCAACATCGGGTCGAGGGTTGGTTTCGGGTTTAGGGTTATGTAGGGTTTAGGGTTGGTTTAGGGTTTGGGGTTACGAAGGGTTTAGGGTTGGTTTAAAGGTTTGGAGTGGCACAAAGAGGGGGCCACTTTTCGTACATTTTTTTGGGAACACCTAACGTCCAAAGTAGCACATGGACCCTCAGGCTTACATGGGTACTTGTAACCACAAGTATGAGTCTACTTATAACCTACTTAGAGGACTTAGGGGGCTTGTGGGTACAGTTAGAATTGGGGCTATATGAAGTAGGGTTTATATTTCTCGTATCCCCCAAAAGGACACCCAAGGTCTACACACACCAATATGAAAAAGGAACCTTATATACACTCACCAAAAACAGTAATATCAACCCTGCTTCATATAAGCACCTTGAACCTCCAAGTAAGGGGCAGGGAGAGGTGGCAGGCGCAGGGGTTGATGCTGCATGGTCAGAAGGTAGACCGGCGAATCACCTCTTTGGATCAGGGTTTCGAGATCTTCTGGCAGCTCCCTCAGACCTCGGACTAAACCCTAAACCCTAAACCCCTGATTTCTCCTCAAAGCCCTGAACCTGGGCTTTGCAAACGCAGTGCACCAAACCCCTAGCCCCAAACCCAGATTCCTGGACCTGAAACAAGCCCTGAAGCATTCAAAATGCGTCTTTAGGGCTTAGGGCTGTTGTGGGTTTTGACAAATAAAACGATAAACCCCTTAGAGGCCCTAGCAAGCCCGATGAACCTGTCCACCCACAAACACCTGAACTGTTGAAACCCCTGAACCCAAGTTTGCACCTGGACCCCAGTATGCCTTTTCTTGGGGCCTGAGTGTACCTTCATGGGGGTAGTGAGGGCATCTCAAGGAGGTAGCTAGTTAGGGCATCTCAAGTAAGGGGTACTTGGGGGGCCTCTAAAGCCCGTGGCTCCTGGCAGTTCACGTCTGCCCGCGCTGCCAGCAGTCGTGTGGCGACATCCGCGTGGGCACGCAAGGCCGCGTTGTGCAGGGCTGTGCGACCCTTCCTTAGGGCTTCCGATTCTGGTTGGAGGTTAAGGGGGGTTTAGGGTAGATAAGGTTCGGGGTTTAGGGTTAAAGGGTTTGGGTGTTGGACGTCGGGGTAGAGGTGCAGGGAGCGGTTGCTACTGGGATCATTGTTGCATCCTGGTTTAAGGTTTAGGTTTCACGAGACTTCGCTGCGCGGATAGAAATGCAACATGGGCATTAGAAATGCTGATATCCTGCTAATGAATCCAATATCTGCAAAGGGGCTGCATTGTTTTGGTTTCCCGGAAGAAAGAAAGGAGAAGCTATCCCTAAACCCTAGACCCTAGACCCCAAACCCTAAACCCTATCCCCAACCCTAAACCCTAAACCCTAAACCCTAAACCCTAAACCCTAAACCCTAAACCCTAAACCCTAAACCCTAAAACCCTATAGAAGGGTTTCAGACTTTATGGGCTACTTGCCAAGGTGCAAGTCCCGCGCAGAGATGTCGGCTCGGCCCTGGGGCTTCAACGAACTTCTGTGGGGTTTACGGTTTGGGGTGGTGGGTTTAGGGTTTAGGGTTTAGGGTTTAGGGTTTAGGGTTTAGGGTTTAGGGTTTGGGGTTTAGGGTTTAGGGTTTAAGGTTTAGGGTTTAGGGCAAATTTCTCTGGGCATCTTGGGGATGTTTTACACGTTTGGTTCCCCACGACACTAAACCCAAAACCCCAAACTCGAAGAGGGCATCGTCAACCGGAGCAGAACGAGCCTGGACCCGTGGAGTTCTTTGTTGCAGCTGGAAAACAACATAGGTGTAGTTCTCTCTAAATTCGGGTCCCTTTTGGGGGTGCTTGTTATAAGGTGCCATACTATATTGCTTTGCCAGACACCGACTGATCTGACAAAACGATTCCTTAAACCCTAAACCCTAAACTGCAGCCCTTTAAGCCACAAAGCCATTCCAAGATCTGACAATTTGTATTCGCGACACCTTAAAAACCAAAAACTGCAAACCTTAAACTTCTAAGCAGCTAGACCATCAAGCCAATGAACCTTCTTAGACTTAAAATCACCTTGGCAAAACCGTTACACCTTGGAACCCTTCAACAATGAAAGGGTTACTAGGTCCAAACCTGACACCGAGAGAGCCCATAACCCCTACATTTACTGAATTCAGGAATCTACCTTAAACAAACGGGGAATCCTTGGTATGATTTAAGGTATCTTCCTGAATCGGGGTATTCGGCTCTTTGGGCACATCGTTCAGAAGTTTAGTTGAGTTTAGTTGTTTTGGGGCTTCGTGGGGCGGAGCTGACATAGGAGGCTGGACGCGAACTTACACTCCCAGACATGTGGCTCAGGGAGCTTTAGAGGGTTTCGGGAACGCTCACCCTTCATTCAGACTAGTTCAGATCATTCTTGCCAGAAGAACCGTCAGGGTGACCCCTTTCGCCCTCCTCCAGCAACGCAGCCGCCGTCTCGGTGTGGCCGTGGAGCGCAGACAACAGAAGGGGGGCGGCACCTCTTCCAAGGGCCGGCCTAAACCCTAAACCCTAAACCCTAAACCCGAAACCCTAAACTCAGCGGCCCTTCCCAACCTACGCACTTCGCCAAGCCAGAACCTCTTTGACCCACACTGCGGGCCTTGACAGAGCCACAGGCGCCACAAAGTCAGGTATTGATTATGGTTTAGGGTTTAGGGTCTACCTATTTTTAAAGGCTCAGGCTCCGAGGAAACTCCCCAAACTGCTTAAAAAAAACCTGCAGAACCCGCAAAAGCCCCAGAAACCCTGTGAGAGGCTTACGCGGAGCCTCGGGCGTCTCGGATGTCTACCTCTGCCTCCTCAGCTGCACGACCCATAAAGATAATAACAGCACCAGCTGTAGATGTGCCAACACGTAAAAAAGCCAACAAGTCGTGGCAACAAAACCTTATTGGTCGTATCATGAGTAGTAGCAAGGACAATACCGAGGAGCAACCTTTGATTATCCCAACTGCCCAGCTACTATGTTTTGTTGGGAGGTTTATGTCCTGTTCCCTCCGTCTGGGTGCTACTGCTACTGAAAGCCCTAGCTTCATGAGGTCTTGTAGAAAAGAATGCAGCAAGCAGCTACCTAATCCCCCGTCCCGGTTGAAGCACCCAGGCCCATAGGGAATCAGCTACAGCAGCTTTTCTCTCCCTAACCCCTAAACCCCCTA